AGTGAGGAACTCATTAAGATTTAATTGCACTTAGGGTGTTTCAACTTCTTTCAGCCTTTCCCATTGAAAAACTCTGCTTGGATTTCACTGGCCTACGGCTAGTGCATTTTTCCACCTACCCTCAAACTTTCAGAAGAAATTTTCCACTTGTACTTTTCCACTTCACTTTCTTCCTCAGCTCCCTGTTGCTTGTATGAATTTAACTTTTACTATTACTCTGAAGCAGCATATGCCAGTGGTAGCATTAGCTGTCTCTTTGCTGAACACCTTGAACTAAATTTAGACCCCCTCTTTCCTGAGCATTGTACATTTCATTTATTTTTAAAATGTATGTATGTATGTATGTATGTATGTATGTATATTGAGACAGAGTCTTGCTATGCATATATATCGTTCAGGTTGGCCTTGAACTCCCTATGTAGCTGAAGCTGTCCTGGAACTTAAAACAGTATGTTATACCCAGTGGACATTTAAAACCTTTTCCTGTTTCCCTTAGTGAGTCTGTATGTCATTAAAAAAAAAAAAAAAAAAAAGTGGAATTCACATAATGCATATCATGCTCAAGAATACCATTTTACGAGTGTTCAGTGTTGAATTTTATGCAATCACTAGTTTTCTCTAGCTTCAAAACCTCTTCTTTAACCCCGTACCCCACGTTCCACATACATCCAAACCAGTCCCACCCCAGTACATGTCTTTTTCTCCATCTCCTACACATTAGTAACCTGATTTTTCTGAGGCTCTCCCTCCCCCTTTTTGCAGTACTGGGGATTGAACTCAGGACTTTGCACTTGCCAGGCAAACGCTTATTCTACTGAGCTATCTTCCCTGCCCCCCCCCCCCCCCCGTTTGTTTTGAAGACAAAGTCTCACTATGTAAATCCAGGCTGGCCTCGAACTCACTGTGTATAGGCTAGGTTGGCCTTGCACTAGGAGCAGTCCTTCTGCCTTAGCCTTCTGTGTGCTGATAGCACAGATTTGTACCTTCATGCCTACTCTGATTTTTTTCTGTTTCTGTATTTGCCTATCGACTTTGTGATGTGTGACTTTATGTCTCTGACTTCTTTCACTTAGCGTACTGTTTTTAAGTTTCATCTAAGTTGTAGCATATATTAGTACTTCATTCCTTTTTATGGCTAAATACTATCCCATTGTGTAGATAATACTACAATTAGCCATTCATTGATAGACATTTGAATTATTTCAACTTTTTTGTTATTATGAATAATACTGCTATAAATCATTGATGTATAGTTTGCTTTGAACAGATGTTTTTGCGTTTCTTAAGAATATACTGGGGGGGGCAAATAGCTCAGCGGATTAAAGCGCTTGCTTAGGCAGACACAGAGGCTAGGAGTTTGATCCCCTTGATCCCTGAGCCTGTGTGCCGCCCCCACCCCCGGGGCGCCCTGAGGCTGCAATTGAGACTGGGCATAGTGGTGCATGCCTATAATCCTAGCACTTGGGAGGCTGTAAACAGGAGAATCACTATAACTAATCTATGCAGTGAGACAGTGAGACCCTGTAGACCCTGTCCTAAAATACAATTAAAAAAAAATACACACACACACACACACACACACACACACACTTAGAGAATATACTTATGGGATTGCTGGGTCATTTGGTAACTAACTTTTTGAAGAATTGTATATATTGTTTCTGATTTAATGCTATAACCTCTACTTCACCAACTTTAATGGATATTATCTGTTAAATATCCGTTTATATTCATTGTTTCTACCATCCTGTATTTGAGATACGCTTTTCAGTATTGCTGCATGGATATCCTTTTAGGTTGCTTTGTTCTCACCATAATCTTATGTATGTCGTCTTCTACACAATAAAAGATTGGTTTTTGAAAATGTAAATCTCATGAGGTTACCACATTGTTTAAAAAATAAAACAGTCCCTTCACAGGCTTATCACTACCTTCTGGATAAATCTGAGCCCACACAGTTTACAAGGGCCTTGCTGTCCAGCTTCCACCAGTCTGTCCAGTTTTACTTGTGTCCCATTGTTTGAATCATAGACCAAGCTCTGTAATTCAAACTTTTTACGTTTCTCTGTCTAAGCCTTGCACTCATGCCACCCCAGTTCTTTGTTTTAATTTTTCTTTACAGAAGGCTTTTCTGGATCATAATGATTCCATCAAGTCCCTTTTGTTTTTTACTTATTTCCCCAATACTTATGCTACTGTTAGAGCATCACTATGAAGAATCATTGCCTGTTTGCCTCTCTGGGAATCAGGAGTTGTTAGTTAGGTGCCATGTAATACAGTACAGGCTTCAAGTTTAATGAGTATAAACTTAGCAAAGATAAAAGATTATTTTTTAGATCAGTTAGGAAAGACCACATACAGGGAGATTGTACTTCCTTTAGTTCTTGAATAATTCGTGCAGTTATAGTAATGGTCTAATACTATAGGTGGATTAAACCTAGTAAGTAAGTTTCATGAATCTAGATATAGGAATATTTTTGGTTGGGTGTGGTGATGTACCACCTGTCACTCCAGCACTCAAGAGGGTGAGGCAGGATGGGAATCTCTGAAAGTTTGGGGCCAGCCTGGGGACTTGCTAGTTAACCCTGCCTCAGTCTCCTGTGCTGGGATGACAGGCATGTGCCACCACTTCAGCCTTATATCTGCTTTTTTGAGACAGGAGTAGTAGTTTAGGGTGAACTTGAACTCACTATGTAGCCAACCATGGCCTCAAACTTGGGTCAGTCCTGCCTCAGCCTCCTGAGTGCTGGGGATTGTAGGCATTTATCACCACGCTTGGCATTTAGATGCTTTATGGACTGTGTCAGGCAAGTTTCAAGGATAATTGCAGAGTTCACTCAGATGTATTTGTAACATTTAAATGGACTTCTGTTGGAAAATACAACATTCAGGTGATTTCTGGAGAAATTACAGAATATTTTCTATTATATGTGAAAATAATTGTCTCGTACCATCTTTAGGGGATTGACTTCAAGAACTCCTTAGATATGAAAATCTGCAAAAGCTTGTCTTTGAGAAGTCATGGAAAACCTCTATTGCATTGTCTGCGCTGCATTGCATCTTTTCTTAGAATAAATATTTAAAAGTAAAAATGGTCTGGGCATGGGTGCACACCTGTAATCCCAGCACTCAGTGGCTGAGGCAGGAGGATTGCCATGAGTTCAAGGCCAGCCTGGGCTATTTAGTGAGTTCTAATTCTGGCTGAACTACATAGCAAGACCCTGTCTTTAGTGGAAAAAAAAAGTAAAGAAAAATGTATTTTGAAATACTGATTTTAGCTAATTATGAAAATCTGTTTTCACAAGTCTGATAATACTTAACTCAAATTTTGAGGAAAGTTCTTCATGTTTAAATATAAACTTTCATTCTTGGCTCTCTGTGTTTCACTGGCATGTTGGGATGTTAAATCCTAGGCATTGAAATAACACTTTCCCTGATTCCTTAAAGATTTACTATCTTCTCAGTTACCAGAATACTTTGTTCAGTGTTTCATAGCACTCTGGATTGCATTACACTTGCTTCCAAGATTAGATGATGGCAGGTGTTACATGATAATCACATACCTGCTCATATTACCAGCAGGTTCTTTCTGCGCCTGTCTCTTTTTCCCCCTTCCCAGTTTGAGCCAGTAAGCCCTCAACCTCCCTGGCAGGTAAAATAGTTGATAATGTTGATTTATTTATATATGTTCAGCATGATTGTGGCAGTGGTTTCAAAGATGTGTTCATATATCAGTACTTAGCAAACTGTGTAACAGTGGTGGTGAACCAATGGCACACATGCCACAGGATATTATTTGTATCATTGAAAGCTCTAAAAGGTTCACCATTGCTGGCATATAATTTACATATGTGGAGTTTACTGAAAGTTAATTATACTACATTAAGGCTATTGATAAAAATCCTTGCTGGGCATGCTGACAAATTACTGTAATCTCAGCTACTAAAGAAGCTGAGTTGGGAGAATTACAAACCTAAGCAACATACTGAGACCCCATCTTTAAAAATTCTCACCCTTCCCTAAAATACAGAAAAAAAAAATTCTCATGTGATCTGCCCTTCATTAATGGATTAATGGTTCAGTACTTTATTAAGCCCTTTGTCCCCAGAAATCATTAGGAATCTATATCCCTCTTTAACTGTTCCTCCATGATCTCCTTTTTGTCCCCCCACCCCCCTTTGCTCCTCACACGTGTCATCCTTTATCTGTGTCAGAAGAGAAAAACTTCATGATGGCACAGCCATTACTGGAGGCTACTCCTGGGTGTTGGTGGCCCTAAAAGGGGCCAACATACGCAGGCCTCATGGAGTCCTTACTCTGTGCTTAGAGCAATTGATCACATGAAAATGCCAACCTGTAGACATGTGTCTCCGGACTACAGAGGCATGTCAGGTAAACAGATACTAGTATTAGTAAGAGGAGTTGCATAAAATGAGAAGGTGTTTTAGGCATCCTGTTAGTATTTTCTGAAAATACATTTTGAAGACCATATATAAGAATTACCCTTCTTGTTTTGATTCCTCGTATCTACGCTAGAATCTTTTGGGGAATGGGTATGGATGTCAACATTTAACAATTAACAACTTTTTTCTTTTAAGGCAGGGTCTCGCTGTGTAAACTCCCCCCACCCCCAGGCTGGCCTTGAACTTTCAGTGATCCTCCTTCCTCAGTTCTTGAGTGCTAGCATTATAGGCCTGTGCCACTATACTTGGTTTTACAAGCTGTACTAAAGACCACTGTAGGGCTATCTAGAGTGGTAAGAACTTGGTTAGACACCAGGATAGAAAGAAAACTGTAGATGATTTTTTGAATAGTCTACTTTACCCATTGTCTTCTTATAGTGTGGAAATGGAAATGTTTTGACCATTAGGTAGCATTTTTGCCTGGTAGGGTATATCCATTTCATAGTTTGAAATTAAGACATGTCTGCTCAACTCATGTAACTTTCGGGGAGAGAATTATACACCTGAAAATTTTGATCAATATTTTTTTCCCTGCAGAACTCAACAAAAATCCAGTGGAAGGCTTTTCAGCAGGTTTAATAGACGACAATGATCTCTACCGGTGGGAAGTCCTTATTATTGGTCCTCCAGATACACTTTAGTAAGTATAATGCAACTTAACATCTTTAAAATTTACTGATATTAAAACCATTTTAGCAAACTGAAATGAAATTATTTTTTAAAGGGAAGTTGAAGTGACAGTGGATTTGTACTGAATTTGATCATGTCTGGGGGTTTTGTGTTCTGCTTAAACCTCTAATGTTCTCCTCCCCCCGCCCCCCCGGCCCCCAACCGGGGATTGAATTCAGGCCCTTGCACTTGGCAGGCAAGCGCTTATTCTACTGAGCCATCTCCCCAGCCCTAAAGCTCTAATGTCTTAAAACTTGTTCTTAAAAATAAAGTTTCAGAATATTACAGAAATATCATTTCACAAATTCAGGTACTTCAATAACTGGATAAGTTCATTCCTATAATTTTTTTTTGGAATCAGGGATTGAACTCAAACCCTTGCGTTTGCCAGGGAAGTGCTTATTCTACTGAGCCATCTCCCCGGCCCTCTAAAATTATCTTGTTGTAAGGTTAGATAAAAATAGTTTTTTTTGTTTTGTTTTTTTTTTTTAATTTATGTCCCAGAAATTATAAGATTACTTTTGCCAGTATCAGGTAAGAAGAAAAAAAATTGAAATGTTTTCCCCTCATCCCTTCTTTTGTGCTTACTGTGCCTTGACCATCAAAGGGAACATCATAATTTTTTTGGGGGAAGGAGTACAGTGAGCTTTATTGATGGTGTGCTATGGCAGCGAACCAGGGCTCCGAGGCCCCTTCCCCTTCTAGGGGGACTGGGATGGAAGCTGTGAGGGAGAGATTCTCAGTATTGGGGCTGAGTAGGGCGGTGACTCCTACAGCATGGCCTCTCTGTCCCTCTGGTCTCGCTGGGCTGTGGTGGTAGAGGGCACTTACTCCTTGAAGGCCATGTGGACCAGGAGGTCCACTACCCTGTTGCTATAGCTTGAACTCATTGTCATAGCAGGAAATGAGCTTGAGAAAGTAGTCATTCAGAGCAATGCCAGCCCCAGCATCAAACGTGGAAGAATGGGTGTCACTGTTGAAATTGCAAGACACAACCTGGTCCTTGGTATAGCCCAGGATGCCTTTGTGGGGACCATCTGACACCTGCTTCACCACCTTCTTGGTGTCGTTGTATTTAGCTGCTTCCTGCAGACAGCCGGTCAGATCCACCACTGACATGTTGGGAGTGGGCACATGGAAGGCCATGCCTGTGAGCTTTCCGTTCAGCTCTGGGATGACTTTGCCCATGGCTTTGGCAGCACCATTGGATGCAGGGATGATGTTCTGGGCAGCCTCATGGCCATCACGCCAAAGCTTCCCAGAGGGCCCATCCACGGTCTTCTGGGTGGCAGTGATTGGACTGTGGTCATGAGTCCCTCCATGATGCTGAAGTTGTTATGGATGACCTTGGCAAAGCAGTTGGTGGTATAGGAAGCGTTGCTGACAGTCTTGAGGGAGTTGTCATACTTCTCATGATTCACACCCATCACAAACATGGGGGCATTGGCAGAAAGGGCAGAGATGATGACCCTTTTGGCACCACCCTTCAGGTGTGCCCCGGCTTTCTCCATGGGGTGGTGAAGACACCAGTGGACTCCACCACATACTCAGCACCAGCATCACCCCACTTGATGTTGGTGGGATCTCACTCTTGGAAGATGGTGATGGCTTTTGTGTTGATGACAAGCTTCCCAGTTCTCAGCCTGACAGTGCCATGGACCTTGCCGTGGTTGGAATCGTGCTAGACATATAGACCGTGTAGTTGTGATCAATGAAGGGGTCATTGATGGCCACAACATCCACCTTGCCAGAGTTAAAAGCAGCCCTGGTGACCAGGCACCAGTATGGCCAAATCTGTTCACTCTGACTTTCACCATCTTGTCTGGATTGCTGCTGGCTACGTGGAAAGAATGGCTGTCTGGGGGTGCGCAGGAGCCAGGGAGCATCATAATTTTTAGGACCAAAGTGTTATCATTCTTAACAGTTTATCAGTTTAGTAAAGCATAGCATTACATATTTCTGGGAGATTTTCAAACAAGGGTATATTGTATATATTAGTGTTTTATGAA